TTAAAACTGTTTAATAGTTCCCCTCTATCTTTTTAATAAAGGCCCTAGGCTAGATTCACCCTCTAGGGAGATCAAATCTAAGAGAGAGTGTAAGTGTAGAGAGAGAGAGTCTCGGATTTGGGTTTTGATCAAAAAAAAAAGTGAAAAAGTGATGTTTAAAATCGCTACTGTCCGCTGATATAAAACACTCTCGCTCGAGCGAAGACTTGGTCGCTCGAGCAACCAGACACAGAAACTCTCGCTCGAGCCAAGGAACTCTTGCTCGAGCCAAAAACTCAAAAGTGCGCTCGAGCCAAGGATTACTCGCTCGAGCCAACAACTCCAACCTTCAGGTCTACAACCAGAAGCACGCTCGAGCGACCAACTACTCGCTCGAGCGAAGAAGAAACCAGACCGCTCGAGCCAAGAAACACAACTCTCAGGTCCAGAACCAGGTGCAAGCGCTCGCTCGAGCGAAGCCTCTCTGGCTCGACCCACCAGACACAAACTCAACTCTCGCTCGAGCGACAAACTCCTGGCTCGAGCCAAGGTCCAGAAATCTGGGCAGCAACACTAGGTTTCGTACCACAACCAACCTGTAACAAACCTGCCCAACACATCCTATAAGTCAAATACAAAGTAAAAAGGATGTAAGCAAGATAATAAACAACTACCAACATCCACGGACACATGTCCGGATCACTGTTCAACAAGGGTAAACCCGGGATCGCTATACAACAAAAAAAAAAGCATAGATAGTTATTGGCAGGTGGTTCTTTTTACTATGTTTCTGTGTTTAGATTTTGAATTCGAGGATAGATACAATAATGTGATCAAGAAAAGTAACACCAATGACTCACTTAATTATTTGTTAGATTAATTTGATACATATAATTTAAGATATTCATGAATTGAGTTTCGGGAGTCTGACCTCTAGTGCATATATTAACCATCCATTTAGTCAAGTTATGTTAACACCAATTGCAAATGCAGTACCTATGGACTATTGATCCTTCGCATGCATTCCTGGTTCAATTCCTTATGGGTAATTTAACTAAATTTGACTTGAATTGGTAGAATAATTTTTTTTCTTCTTGTCCAATTCGTTATGTCTAATTGATGCATATGACCACAGAGCCATGTAAGATTTTGCAATTTGCAGGGGGATATACTTAATGATTTATTTGGATTTTGAAGATTATTAGCAGTCCATAAATCCTGGACACAAAATGAAGTTATTTTAATTTTTTTTTTTTACTATTAAGTTTCTCAAGCATGTGGTGGAAAGAACCTATATGTTATTTTATTTTATTTTCATAATTTTTTCTCCTTCCCATAATATTTGAAGAGTATATCAGGTTCTTCAGAACTGATGAACTAATCTTTGCCAGTGACATGGAAAAGGAAGGTTCAAATTGGCAGCGAGGAAACAAAAGAAAAAAATATGATAAAAATTAGTGAGAAAACAAGTGATAAGTGGTATCCTAGTATGGCGTCTAGTACAAGAAGAAAAAAAAAGGGTGTGAAAACTGAGAAAACAAGTGAAAAAAAAAAGAAGAGAAAAATAAAAATATGATGGATGGTATCTTACCATGGTGTTTAGTAGCTTAATTTAGTCCTTGTGGAAAGTACTCATCTTCGAGTCAACTCTTCCCTAATTTTGTTTAACAAATTACCTTAAAAAATATGATAAACAAGCATGTGAGAAGGGATTGTAATAAAGATTAAAGACCATGAAATCCCAGAACAGTTGGATAAGTGATTACTTGGCTATGAAGCACCATACACTTCAACAAATGGGTATATACTTTTGGTTTTGGGGCTTATTGCTGGTTAAGATTATTTTTGCTAGGTATACCCATTTGTTGCTTCATCATATAGAAATAGTAGAAATGGAGATAAAGAAGAAAATTGCACTATAATAATGTAATTGACTTCTTTACAATGCTTTTGACATAAAAGACTCCATAGCTGTAAGTTTCTCTGCAAGGAATTGTTAATCTTTGTCTATTACATTCTTATTGCCATCAGACAACATATATTTTTTTATTTTGTTGTTTTCTGGAATTCATGAAGAACACCTAATTTGAAAATTAATGAGATATTGCATTGATATTTGGAGAGAAGAATTGTGAACTAAAATTTTGCTTATAAGTTGATTTAAACAAGCAAAACAATAAAATGCAAGAGTAGAACCAGAGTTTGTATTGATGGAAGTCATTTTGACAGAGAAACTCTTAACAGTAGGATCACTCCATGCACAATAGGACCACTGACATACAAAAACAGATTCTTTTATTATTTTCGTAAAATTCTGTAACAGCTTGCATTGTTACATTGGTTGGTTGCATTGTAAAGAGTAAGGTTCATCTTTTTGTGCGGTACTTGAATGTTAATGATATGATTTTAAATAGGGCAAATTACATATACCCCCTCGAGGTTTAGCAAAATTACAAATACCCCCCTAAGGATATACTATCTACTCTAAAAAATTGCAATCATGAATCATGATGCTTTATTAAGTTGACTTGTTATTTTCATAACACACAGTAGGGGACTTCATGTCTCTCAATATTCCCATGCGCCTATTATATTTGATACTTAGTGGTTGATGCTTATCTTCTTGGCTTTTTGAATGGGATAATGGGAAGGAAGGGAGCGGGATACGGAATTGATAGTTTAACGCCTGCATTTTATTTCATCACTAGCATTACTTCTTTGGTTTCATTAATTGTTATCTTGGAAGCTTCAGGCATTTTATGGCTTTCAAGTTGTGGTTTTTATGTTTATTATTTCTAGCATGGTTCAGATTTCTATAATATTCATTATTTTCTTGTGAGTTCGAAAATAAATATTGCAGGATCCTGAAGGTCTTTTTCCATGTATTCTTGGTCATGAAGCTACTGGGTATGTACTCTGTGCTCTTCTTGTCAGTTTATTAAAAATTATGGTGTCTTTGATGCTGGAAGATGAGAGTATGGTTGAAATGTTCTGATAACAGGATTGTAGAGAGTGTTGGCGAAGGTGTAACTGAAGTTAAGCCCGAAGACCATGTCATACCTTGTTACCAGGCAGAATGTAGGGAATGCAAGTTTTGCAAATCGGGGAAGACAAATTTATGTGGCAAAGTTAGGGCTGCCACTGGAGTTGGAGTCATGATGACTGACCGTAAGAGTCGTTTCTCCGTCAATGGAACTCCCATTTATCATTTTATGGGAACTTCGACATTTAGTCAGTACACTGTTGTCCATGATGTTAGTGTTGCAAAGATTGATTTAAATGCCCCATTGGAGAAAGTGTGCCTTCTTGGTTGTGGTGTTCCCACTGGTAAGCAACTCTTTTGCTTCCAAATATAAATGGTTTTACACTCTAGGGCTTAATCTTCTTACTAGCTAATAAAGTGTATTCATAATAAGTTTTACCTTCCCATAAATCCTATGTGCTTGGTTTCAGTTCTACCGGCTTGCTGAGATTTGAATCCAATGGTATAATGCATTTTTTACATATGCTACTGAAATGTGTGTGCTACTAAGGTGTCTTGCTGAGAGAGTCTATGGTGTTCTGTTCTTATACTGTATAACTTCAAATTGCTCCGAGCTCATTGTACCATTTACTTTTTCGGAATGAAATCATGGGATTGTTGCTAAGATATCCAATATTTTGCACTCTTTTGAAAATGTAGGATAATTTTGTGATGGTGTCCTATCAAATATTATATGTCGCAGCTACTGTTAATGACATGATAGCGGTTTATGGCTTCTTAATTTAAATTACTATCATTTGTAATCTAATATTCAATTATCTAATTGAATGTATTATATATTTGTTGTCTCTTAGGTCTTCGAGCAGTTTGGAACACAGCAAAAGTATAACCAGGTTCCATTGTTGCTGTTTTTGGCCTTGGGACTGTTGGCCTTGCAGTGAGTTTTTGAACCATCAGGCCATATTTTCTTGTGCTGACTGCCATACTTGTATGACATAAATAATTAGAGTATTACTTGATAGGTGGCAGAGGGGGCAAAAGCAGCTGGTGCTTCGCGAATTATTGGTGTCGATATTGACAGCAAAAAGTTTGATATAGGTATAGCTTCACATCCATCCCCATATGTTTTCTGATGGTGTATAGTTAAAGTTCTGGGGTGGTCCAAAATAGATATTTTCTCTCATTGAACAATTACTTTATTGCACTTAACTAAGACTAAACCACAGTGTCTTATGTGTTACCCTTTGACTATATGTATTTTGTTCTCGAGGGGCCCTATTTCTAAAAGCACTAGCAATGCATGGCCTCACGTGTATAATATCAACAAAAAAAGGAAAGGCACTTAATAAAAACATTGGTTTGTTTTATTGAGGATTCGTTTTGCTAATATCTTAGTACTGCACATATTGTTTAACTTGGTATTAGGAATTATTGCACATACAACCTAACCTATTGTACCACACTAAGTTTATTTGTTAATATTTTCAATGTTTTTATTTTATCTGAGTCAGACAAATAGAAATCAATCTCACGAGATATGTTATATATGTGATTTCTGAATCTATTTTCCCGTGATAAAAAAATTCTTGCTACCTCTGCGTAAATCGATGGAAAAGGTGGTGCCAGCTAAATATGGTAGTTCTTGAGATTTTCTAGTTTTGAGGTGGGGATGGGGGAAAGTTTTGGCTTATAAGTGGTGTGGTTTTCATGTAGTGGAGAGAGCCTTTCCTTCTGTATTTCTCCTGACTTCTGATAAAGATGCTTGCTTAGCAGATAATGTCTCAGGTGCAGATAATTTTTTTTATTTTTTTGAGATGGTGGGTTGATAATGAATGTGCAAGATTGGAAAGTGGAACAGTTGATTAATCTTCTCAATATGTTGTACGGGATTAGAAGTGTTGCGGAGCAATATACTTTGGGGTGAGTAGAAGATAAGAAAAGGAGGTTTGATTTAAAGTCCTATTATGGGGCTTTTGTGGTTAATATGAGGACTTTTCCTTGGAATGACATTTAAGTTGTTGGGGCTCCATCCAAGGTGACCTTTTTCTTTGGAATGCAATCTATGAGAATATTCTTATGATTGCCAATCTTATTAGAAGGTTACGGATTATTGTAATTTCTCTCTTATTTGACTTTATGCATTGTAATGTTGCTGGGGTTTTGTAGGGGCTGATTTTGGCTTTGTTTGGAATAGAGTGGGTTTTCCATAGAGATGTGGTAGGGATCATGCTTGGATGATGGCGGAAGGGTGTGGAAGCGTATGCAGGAGATGACATTTGGCTCCTCTGTGTTTGCTGCGGCTTTTATGGAGGGAGGTAAAAATGAGGGTGTTTCAACGTGTAAAAAAACCTGTGTGGGATTACGAGTTTTTGTGTGTGTGTGTGTGTGTGTGTGTGTGTGTGTGTGTCTATTTTTTTTAGTTTATTGAGTGTGAAAGTTTTTTCTAACATTGACCAATTTTGTAGATTTTGTGAATTCTCTTTACTTGTGTAAGAATTTAGCAGTTTTCCTTTGCTTTTTTTTGGGGGGGTGGGGGGGTTTGTTTTTTTTGTTGTCTATATGTCTACAATTATCATAGTTTAACCTTTTCTAAACATGGCCAGCATCCCCTTTATTCTTATATTTAATACAACTTGCTTTACCTATTGTCATACAAAGGGGCCAGGTATTGTTACGTGAACCTACTTGTCAGCTTTATCTGGGGTTGCGGACTTCAAATGTTATCATGATTCATGAGTATAAATACTAAATCAACCCTTGCCATTGTTAAGAGTGATTGGTCTATACACCCAGTTGTACTAATTTTTTCATCACCTTAGACCAATAAACAAAGACCTGGTATGGGTCAACCAAACAGTAAACAATCATATCAAGGAGTATGATAATTTATGTTATTTTTTTGGAGGGGTAATGGTCGAACACGAGTTCATCTTACTAACACTTTACAGTATAATTAACTTGTCTGCACTTGTCTACATATTTAATGATGTGAACTTCTACAGTAGTGTTTGTTAGTTTATTTTTTTATCTCGAAACTCTATTTGACTTTTTGTGAACCTTGTTTGCTCTTTTGGCATGTTCATCACACTGCTACTCATTTGTTACAAGCTGCACTTAAAATCAAATCAACACATGAAAGGTTGAGTTAGTGGGAGGGAGCTCCAATGGAGAACAACAAGTGTGGGTGTTGGGTAGTTTTCAGGAAGAGTGTTAGAAGTACTTGCAAGCCTTCTGCTTCCAAAGACACTCCCAACACTATTCCTAGAACCAGTCTTGTTTATGATGCAGGTAATCATATGTAATTATATATATGTATGTATGTATACCTATGCAGATTCATTCACATATTGCAGGCATTTGGTGTTGCTCCGATTCTCAATTATCTTCTGTTATTTTCAATTTTTACATGTTGGGTTTTTGCTAGTTGTTTGAACCAATAATTGATCCAATTCTTCTACTGAGTACTCCATGTGTTTGTAGAAATGGTCAAAGCTATTTTCATTGTTCTGTTACGATATTTACTTCTTCTTTCTCCTTTTCCACTCTCTCTCTCTCTCTCTCTCTCTCTCTCTCTCTCCCTCTCTCTCTGATATCCCAACCAATCCAACAGAGCATTCTTGAAACCGTTATTAACGAATATATCAAGTCTTTTGCTTTACTAAAACTGCTATTAAAAAGGATTTTTTTCACAGGAGTATAATGCAAAGCTTTCAAATTTTGGTCTGGCAAAAGCCGGGCCCCAAGGAGACAAAACGCATGTTTCTACAAGGGTTGTTGGAACATATGGCTATGCTGCTCCAGAATATGTAATGACAGGTACAAGTCATACCTATTTTAGATAGCTTGAGCTAATTGATTCCTAAGATGGATCTTTTGTGACAAATCTACTTTATGTCTGAACAAGATTATATTTGAGTAGAAAAATACAATAGCATCAACAAGGGTGCAAATCATCTGTTGAAAATGTGCATTTAAGGTTTTAGTAGCAATATTGGGAGATGAATCAGTATTGATCGCGGTCTAGCTATATTAAGAGTATTGAGTGAAACAAAACAAGAATTAGTTTGAATTTTAGCTCAGGTCATAGAGGAGCAGCATCCACAAAGTAACCACACTATCTTATTATTACAAAGTATTATCTGACATTTTAAGTTTTAGTCTTGTTATGACTAGATGAATTTTATCATCAATTACAGGTATTTTTTGAAGGCTGGATATTCCGTTATCTTTCCCTTTTTTTTTTTTGGTCCCCGAGAATGTCTTCTATACATTTATGCTAGAGTAGTCGAGAATGTAGGGCTAGTTATGCAGGGGTTCCTGCCAGCCTTTTTGTAGATCTCTTCCGGAAGATCCATTGGTTGAATGTTTTGAGGTAAGCGAGGAGCTTAATATTTAAGGTCTGGTGTTTATGAATCTCTTGGCTACGATAATTCGTATGTAGTTTTCTGTTTGGCAAGTATGACATGTACACAAAAAAAACACCAAACATGCAACATCATGACACAAGAGCAATATAACTTATCATGCAGGCCTGTCCCATAACATATAACATAACTCCAATGCTTGATGTCCTTTTTCTGATCAACAATGAAAGAAAAAAAACAAATCCACAATATCTTTCATGGATGGTTAACAATCTCAATATTTTAATTGTGCATTACTCGGGTATTTTATTGTAGGGATGAATATATATATTTCTTTTCTTTTCTTTCCCCACTAGCAGATGGTGGGGAAAAGAGGTCAATGTTTCTGATCTTGTTTACTGGTACCTTCATTATAGAAGCATTTTGTTGACTTTCTCATGACTAATTTAATGATTTGAGTGTAATAAATTCGCCACTAATGGTTCTGAGTGAAATGATTCGACTTTGTTTCATATTTCAGTGCACCAGTCACATTCTAAAGCAGTGAAGAGAGCCATCAGTGAACATTGTGGTGTATGGACAATCTCAATGCTTAGTTACTTTTACTGTTTCCAGTGCATTGGTATAAGGTTAGCTTGGTAAACATTGTGGTGTACTTGATTTGAGTGTTTTTATATAACTTACTCTCCTAGTGTAAACATGACAGCTAGTGAATTAGTTTGAATTTTTACTTAACTTCTGTTAACCTGATGGATTAAAAGTTACTAAGAATTGTATAGTTTTGAGGGTTGTTTGAACAATTGACGGATGACAAACATGGTGATGGAAATTCCTATTGTTCTTAGATCATTCTATTCTGGTTAGGCAGGTTTCATGATACTTCTCTGCTCCTCTTGGTGAATTTCTTTTAAGAACTCCCTAGTTTCCAATTAAAGGCTTGTTTTGATTTAGTATTAGTTCTTACAATAATTTGTTACCTATATATGGTTAAGCATTCTATCGGTTTGAATTATTGGATAGTGACCAATATGAGGACCGACATAGTTCAATGTCATTTGTTTTTCTGTCTATCATGGGCACTAGATCTCTAATACACTTCAGATGATATGAGTGCAATACTTGTTGTGAAACTAAGGAAGAGAATGGGTCTCAGAATGTGGGTGAAGTTGCACCTGTTGGGCATGCATGTTGAAGGGAAGGTAACAACTAGTATGTTCTTATTTTTAGACTAGACTGTGGTGTATTCATTTGACCTTCAAACATATTTAGGGGGATGTTCAATTCTCAAAATATGAATTTTTACATTAGCAGTAGAGGATTCAGAAAAGGATAGATCTTGGTATTCTTCTCTCTCTCTCTCTCTCCTTTTTTTGGGGTTGGGTGAGCATAGTTCATAGTTTCTTTTGCTATTGCAACAAATTACTTTATTTGTGCAAGTTTCTTTCAAATTTGAACGTTCTGGTGTTGTTGTCGCTTATTACATGAGTTAGATAACTCTATGTTGTCATTTCTTCCTTTTCTAGATGCTTGAAGGTTTTCTAATCTTTAAATTATTTCATATGTTAGAAAACCTGTCCTGTGTGTATGAGGAGGAACCAGTTGTTGCTTATGCCTTGGTGGAAGTTATCTCAGCAGCTGACCTCAAGCCTTCAGATTTAAATGGTTGGCTCAAGCTACAACATTTACTTTTATAAACCATAGCAAATATTCCAAGTATATGCATAATAACTAGAAGTGTGGAACTGTTTTTCAGGATTGGCTGATTCATATGTAAAACTTGGTCCTTACAGATTGAGGACTGACAGAAAGTGAACCAACATTTAGACAGAGAGTAATTGTCGTCTCCAAATTTGATAATCGGCTCAAGGTACAAGTGCATAACTTTTCTTTAGTGGTTTTTGTAGAGGTTGGGATACACACATTTAATGACTGATGTTTTGCGATACATAGCTTTGCGATTGGTCTTTTTTTAATTTTACAGCATTTGTCTTGATCTTAAAAGTGATGCCATCAGGCAATAGAAAGGCATGAATTCTCCACGGACAGCCCTGGCTACCGCAGTGAGCAGAAATCCTTGTTCTCTCATTCTTCTCCCATACAAGCTGAAACCCTTCTTGAGCAACATAGTCCCGTAAGGCATCTCTAAACATGTCAATGCTAGGAAATAGCATGCCAACCTCGAACTGTCCTTTCTTACCCTTACCCTTTCCCTTACCCTTACCAATAGATTGAGATCCATCATTATTATCAGATTCAGAATCTAATAACATATCATCACTTCCACAATTATCATCAGACGATGATTGACAATTACTGTGGCTATCATCATCAGTACTTTGTTCATACATGGGAAACCCTTCTTGAGCAACATAGTCCCAGTAAAATGACAATTACAATGGTTGAAGTCTTATCATATAGGGTGTTTCGACTCCATTCATGAGATTGTCTCAAATATAAAATGGGTGAGTCAAAATCTTTAAGGTGTGGAAATGGTTGGTGATTATTCAAGCTTGTTCGGTGGATACTTTTGTGCCATGATGCTGTGTTGTGTTGAATCTGGTGCTGATTGGCTCTATTCTGTGTGCTCTGCCTCTGATGCAGCTTTTGATTGATGCGATCTGTTTGTCCTGATTTTTTGATTTGGTTGAGTTGTTTTGTTGCTGGTTTTGTTTGATTTGTTTTCTGACTGTTCTGGTAAATGAGGTAAACTGCCGCGTCAATTCTGATTTGGTTATATGATTTTGTTTGGGTTGCTGAGTTGAAATGGTTTTCTAAACTGGTGATGATCTGTGTTGAATCAGTTTGCTGATCTGCTTTACTAATCTGCTATTCTTCTGGTGCTGCTGTGATGTTGCTACTGTTGCTGAGATGTTGTGGTGATGCTGCTGTGATGGTGTTTGTTATGATGAGGTGCTGCTGTGTTGTTGTTGGATGTTTGTTGGTGTTGTTGATGTTGGAAGGGTGCAGGACTTTTTGTCCAATCTGTAATAGATCAAGTTTTCATTAATGGGGGTTGTCATTAGGTGTAAGTTCGGGCAACTGCTGGTGTTTTGGCTGGAAGGGTATGGAGGGGGTATGGAGGAGGTATTTTGTGTGATCTCATATCAATGTTATTAGTTTGTTATAGTGGTGCCTGAGGAATGCCTCTTGTAAATCTGTAAATCTTTTAAAAAATTATAAATGAGTTTAAATTATTTTTGCCACTGCAAATTTGTCGTTGTTAAAAAGTAAAGCTTTCTTGACAAATAACTTGTCGGTAAATGTGTAGCCAAAAGTTTATTTTTGCCCACACATATTATGTTGCTAAAAGTGTATTTTTTGCCAATGCCAATTTGTCGTTGCCAAAGCTAAAGCTTTATCGACAACCAAATCATTGGCAAATGGCAACATTTGCCGACGTAAATGTGTCGCTAAAAGTTACTTTTCCCCACTCATATTGTGTTGGTAGAAGTGTATTTTTCGCCAATACCAATTTGTCGTTGCCAAAAGTAAAGCTTTAGCGACAAACAAATCGTCGGCAAATGGCAACATTTACCGACGTAAATGTGTCGCCAAAAGTTTACTTTTGCCGACGCATATGTTGTTGCTAAAAGTATATTTTTTGCCCATGCAAATTTGTGTTGCGAAAAGTGCTACACAATCATCATATTTGAATGACTTTTACCAACGCAAGGTAAATTGCCGACGCTGGATGGAGGCTTTTAGCGACGACTATGTTCGTCGCTAAAGGCATTACTTTTACCAACGTAATGATAATTTCGTCGGCAAAACTCTTTGCCAACAAATTTTCCCTTTTTGGAACATATTTTGTTGCGTTGCGAAAAATGCAATTTCTTGTATCCAAATGAATGAGAGAAATTCCCCAAAGATAGAACTGGAGTTTCTAGAAAGCTTTGAAGCCAAATTCTTAGAACACGCTTCTAATCAAAGATAGAACTGCGGTTGATTTTTTGTATCTGTAGAATCTTAAATTAAATCTCTCCAAAAAATACCGAAAGATATTGTTAACCTTGGCGAAAATCCCCAACTACATATGTATGTGTTAATTATATCACGCATGATCTGATCGATTGGAACAGATAATTCAAAAGATGAAGACAAGCTCTCGATTATCAGATTGATTATTTTAAACTTTGTCACTTTGATTCTGTGAATCAAAACAATTTTTTGAAATAGGATGATGATATATATATGTGTGATGAGTAATTTGTATATGAACAACAAGTGTATGGCCAAGAAGAAGAAGAACAGAGACTAAGAAGAAGAAAGAGGTTTGGGATATTAATTCTCTATATATTTATTCCATAGTTCCCAGGCTATTTATAAGCCAAAAGAGAACACTAGCTACAGCAAATTAATAACTTGAAATAATAATGCAGAGGGTTGTGACACAGAACGTGGAAGAGGTTACAATAATTTATTGAAAACAAACTACAACTAAATCCTATTCTTGAGGCAGAGAGGTTGCTATTCTCATGCATCACCTATTCTTATGGCAAAATAATGAACATATCACTCCTCCCTCCCTTACACTATCCTTGTCCGTAAGGATAAAATCAAGGTAAGTCTTCGAAAAACGTCAACAATTCTCCCAAGTAGCGTCTTCAATGGGTGCACCCACCCATTTAACCAAATCTCAGTCTTTGGTCGGTAAAGCCCGTTTTGGATGACACGGGTGTCCAACACTGCTTCAGGTTAAGGAAGAATCTCAGATGTGTCGGATAAGGGTGGTAGGCAAGTGGAAGCAGTGGTGACTGGTCCAATGTGCTGCTTTAAGAGACTCACATATAAAACATCATGGATTTGGGAACCAACTGGTAACTCGAGCTTGTAAGCCATAGGTTTGACTCGAGCAAGGATCTTATAAGGCCCAAAGAATCGAAGTGAGAGCTTCATAGAGCCGCAGAAGGCAACTGTCTTCTACCTGTATGGCTAAAGTTTGAGGTACACGTAATCACAAACCTCGAAAACAACTTCCAGACGATGTTGGTAAGCTTGTGACTTCATATGGTCACGGGCAACAACCAGATTTCGACGTAAGAGACTGAGAATGTCATCACGGCTGCGTAAAAGGTCATCCATGGCTTGCACTTTTGTTGTGCCAGGAATGTAGGAAAGTAGAGTTGGTGGAGGCTGACCATACACAGCTTTAAAAGGGAAATTTTTTCTAGATTAATGGATGGAAGTATTGTAACTATATTCAGCCCATGAAACCCATCTAGTCCATTTTTTTGGCTGGTCATGCGTGAAGCACCGGAGGTATTGCTCAAGTGTGCGATTAACCACTTCTGTCTGGCCATCGGTTTGGGGATGATAACTAGAGCTCATACCCAAAGTTGTACCCTGCTGGTGAAATAAAGTTTTCCAAAATGAGCTGATAAAAACTTTATCACGATCACTTACAATGGATACGGGTATGCCGTGAAGTCAGACAATTTGGTCAAGTAAGACTTTGGCCATGGTGAGAGCGGTAAATGGGTGCTTGAGTGGAATAAAGTGCGCATATTTGGTCAAGCGATCGACCACCACCATGATGACAGTTTTACTGTGTGACAGTGGCAAACCTTCCACAAAATCCATGGAAATATCAGTCCAAACTTTGTCGGGGATGGGCAGCGGTTGTAGTAAACCAGCGGGACATGAACAATCAGATTTGCATCATTGACAAATATCATATTTTTTGATGAAGTCCTTAACCGTGGTGTGCATGTGAGGCCAACTGAGGCTGGTGTGGATGTCGCTTAATGTTTTATGATAGCCAAAGTGTCCACCCACCGGTGAGGAGTGATGTGTGGATAATATGGTAGGAAGTAGTGGTGATGAGGGACTCAAATAGATACATCCGTTTTTGAAGAGCACTCCATCACGTAAGGAATACTGTGGCTGAAGATGTGATGGTAATGAGCCCAACAACTGGCTATAGAATGGATCGGTGGCGACCTCTTTCTGGAGTGTGGTCCACCACTCCACAATAGGCAAGGATATGGCATGGAATTCAAGCTCGCTAACCCGTGAGAAGGCATCAGTCCCGGTGTGGTCCACCACTCCACAATAGGCAAGGATATGGCATGGAATTCAAGCTCGCCAACCCGTGAGGGTGTATCAGCCCCGTAATTCTCTTTCCCTTTCTTGTACTCAATGATGTAATCATACCCGAAAATTTTTGGTAGCCACTGGGTTTGAGCCGGCGTCGTGATTTGCTGCTCTAAAAAATATTTTAAACTTTTTTGATCAGTACGAACAATGAAAGGTTTTTCGATGAGATATGGCCACCATTTGCAGATGGCCTTAATTATTGCTAGCATTTCCTTCTCATATGTTGATAAAGCTAAGGCCGTGGGCTTAAGAGCTTCACTAAAGTATACGACTGGCTGGCCCTGTTGTGATAAAATGGTTCCAATGCCCACCCCACAAGCATCACATTCGATCACAAAGGTATGAGAAAAATTTGGTAATCGGAGGACTGGAGGAGTTGTGAGTGCTTTCTTCAGTTGGGAAAAGGCAGAAGCGGTCTTAGAAGTCCATCAGAACCCATCGTTGGATAATAATCGAGTGAGAGGTGCCGCAATTCCTCCAAACCCACTGATAAATTTTCGGTAATATCCGGCTAGACCAATGAAGCCACGAACTCCTCTTGCCGAAGTAGGGGTGGGCCACTCAAGAACTAAGTTAATCTTTGCTTGATCAACGGCCACTCCTGCAAAAGAAATAAGATGTCCCAAGTATGCTACCTATAAAACACCGAAACAACATTTAGATTTTTTGGCAAATAATTGATTGCTAGAAAAAACTTGGAGGACCGCACGGAGGTGGCTGAGATGGTTGATCCAATTTTTGCTATACACCAAAATGTCGTCAAAAAAAAACTAGAACAAACTTCCTTCAGTAGGGTCGTCATTCATCAAACTCTAGAATGTGGAGGGGGCATTTGTAAGTCCGAAGGGCATCACAATTAACTCATAATGTCCGTCATTTGTCCGAAAAGCAGTTTTATGAACATTCGCCTCTTGAACCCGTATTTGGTGGTATCCGGCACGAAGATCGAGCTTTGAAAAATACCGAGAGCCATGTAATTCGTCAAGGAGTTCATCTATGATAGGGATTGGATATTTGTCTTTGATGGTAATATTGTTGAGAGCTCGATAATCAACACAAAATTGCCAACCTCCATCTGCTTTTTTGACAAGCAATACCGGCAAAGAAAATGGGCTTGTACTGGGGCGGACCAAACCTAAGTCAAGAAATTCCTTCACCATCCTTTCAATTTCTATCTTTTGATAATAAGGGTATCGATAGGGTCGGACACTCACAGGTGCTTGATTTGGTTGTAACGGAATATGGTGGTCATGGGTTCGTATTGGGGGCAAGGTATTGGGGATGTCAAAGACATGCTCAAATTCAGGGAGGATTTGGGCGAGGTCAACAGGAGGGTCATTGATTGAAGTTGGTTCGTGGCTTGGAATGATTTGAAAAAACAAGGCTATTCCATTGAGGTTGAGAAGTTCCTTGGCGCTCAAGGCAGTGGTTGTAGGTTGCTTAAGGCCTTGAAAAATACAGGATTTACCTCCTTCCCAAAAAGACATGGTAAGACGACTGTAATCCATTTCAATTGGTCCAAGGGTGGCCAA